CCACATCACAGTCCACCGTCAGAGAAAGCCAGGGCAGGAACCTGTAGGAAGGAACTGAAGCAGAGGCCATGGAGGAACACTGTTTACTGGCCTGCTCCTCATGGCCTTCACAGACCACACTTTTATAGCACTCAGGACCACCAGCCCACGGCGGCGTTGCTCACAGTGTGACGGGTTCTCCCGCATCGATTATCAGTCAAGAAAATGCACCAGAGGCTTGTCCATAGGCTAATCTGGTGGGGCCATTTTCTCAACTCTTCTAAAATGACTCTAGCTATGTCACGTTGACATAACACTATTAACCCCGGAGCCTTTACAGTCCAGGCCTGTGGTTCAGCAACAGCCGCCTTAGTGAACTCCACTGCCCCTGCTGGCCAGCAGCTTGCACTGCACATGGCCATGAGAGGCATTTTCTCGGCCACGCTAGGCTAACCTTCTCTTCCTTGCCCAGGGCTTCCTTCCTTGTCCTTTATCACCCACTTACCCTTCCAGTCCTGAGTTCACAGCCAGGTGAAGCCATGCGGCCTCTGCCGGCTGATCTAGGCCCTCTAGCTCCGATTTTCCACGGCGTTCACATCCTGTCCCTGGCCCTAGTTACAGCACTCCATTGGGTTGGTTTACAGCAACGGTTCCCAACATGTGGGTCAAGACCCCTTGGAAAGTTGACCCTTTCATAGGGGTCACAGAAGACCACCCACCCACCCAAACAAACAAATAAATAAATAAGACGTTTACATGACAAGTTATAACAGTAGCAAAATTATAGTTGTGAAGTAGCAACGAAAATAATTTTATGGTTGGGAATCACAACAACATGTGGAACTGTATTAAAGGGTAGCAGCATTAGGGAGGCTGAGAATCATTGGTTTACAGGACGCTTTCCGGGCTGTGCCTGAGTTCTGGAGGTGGGGTAGGTGACTCTAAAAAAGTATTTCTTCAGCACATTCAACGTGTACCATCGTCTGCTAATGTTAACTAACTCCAGATGTGGATGTCATGACTCTGCTTTCTTTTTTTTTTTCTTTTCTTTCTCCTGTTTTTTTTTTTGTTGTTGTTGTTTTGTTTTGTTTTTGTTTTTGTTTTTGTTTTTATTTGAGACAGGGTTTCTCTGTGTAGCCCTGGCTGTCCAGGGCTCGCTTTGTAGACTGGGCTGGCCTCAAACTCACAATTATCTGCCTGCTTCTCCGAGTGCTGGGATTACAGGCGTGTGCCACCGCACCCGGCTGATGTCACGAATCTTCATCAATTGTTTCCTGCTCACCCTATTAACTTCTCAAGGGTAAGAAGTCATGATAGTCATACATTCCTTCACTAACCATAATAAAGGAAGGATTGGGGTTGGAGAGATGGCTCATTGGCTCAGAGCACATACATGTACTGCTCTTGCAGGGGACCAGAGTTAGTGTCCTAGCACCCAGGGCTGGGTGGCCCACCACCACCTGAAACTCTAGCTTCAAGGAATCTAACGCTCCCTTCTGGACTCCCCTGGCACCTGCATTCACAGGTACGCAACCCACCACATCCCCAGGCCACCCTTCTCCATGCCCATAATTTAAAACAAATTTCCAAAGTGATAATTTTTAAGCACACACCATGTGAGAGGATGTGGGAAGATCTGTGATGGGGGAGGGGGCGTGGTGTGGTGGCACACATGCCTGTAATCTCAGCACTCAGGAGGTGAAGAATGCAAGATCAGGAGTTCAAGGATAGTCTGGGCTACATGAGACCCTGTCTTCAAAAAACAAACAAACAAACAAGCAAACAAACAAAAAAGCCCGGAGTGCTTTGGAAGTGGTAATGGGAAAGAGACTGCATTCTGGTTTGGAGAACTAGAGACGGCTTTCTGTAGCCAGAAAGTGTTATGTAAGTTTCCTCTGGAATCAAACATTTCATCCTCCAGGAAAGTTACTTGAGCAGGAAGGTATATGATTCAAAGGTACAAAATAGCTTCAGGAAGTCCCTGAAACCAATCAGATTCACTAAGCTGCTCCCTGCCAGAGTAAGCAATAAAAGCTGAGCATCTTTCTCAGATCAAGAGAGCCAAGCTGCAAAGAAGATTTTGAGACCAGACTAGCAGTCTGGAGGCAGTGTAAATCAGCTGAGCTGCCTGGAAGAGGTCAAAACCAACTGAGGCACCTGGAAAGGACACTCTCCAATCCGTGGAGCTGTCTGCAGACTGTGCAGTGAGCTCCAGGTTCCCAGCTCTCTGAGCTGTCACCCATGCTCAGGTGGGCTTTGGGGATACAGCTGTCCCTGAGTCATTTCTGCTCCTGCAAGTCACCCTTCCCCCACACTCATCTGAGTAACTCCTATGAAACTCATTGGTTCACCAAGTTGGACTTTTGTGGTACCTGTACTTCGCTCTTCCGTGGGCTCCCTATCTGGGCTGAATACAGGCCTGTGTTGCGCCTCCCCAGAAAAGATTTTGTCACAGAGCAGTTGGGGTCTCGGGGGATGGGGTGAATCATTTCGAGTCTTGGGAAGGTGAATAATGGAAGACTGAAAGAAGGTGTTGTGCGTGTGGAAGGTAGTTAGACTGGAGTCGTGAGGAACAGTACACAGGGTCTCCCTTCCCCCAGCAGTTTGAAATAAACAGATTAGCAACACAAAAGAGCGGCAGGTGGTGCTCACCGTGTCCCCTTCATTATTGATAAAGGTGGAGGAGTCAACGTCAAAGGAAAGGCCAGGGGCTCTGAACAGCTCTGCCCCGGGTGGCTCGCTCCAGTGCAAGGCTCTGTTGTGTGGATTGTCACCCAGCCACAGAGTGTCTTCAACGGAACTTTTCAACCCACGTTTAGTGGGTAAATGGCGCTTCCAGCTGACTCCATTATTCACAATAGTTTATTTTGGACTATCCTCCCTCCTCTCCCCCTAAAGCATTGATTGTGTCATAAGGTCTTTCAACCTATTCACCTAAAGCAAGCTGGAGTTCCATCCCGTGAGAATTCACTGTGGGTCTTCTTATTACACAGGGCTCCTTGGGAAGCCCACGCTTGAGCTGGGAGGCCTTGGCCTGCTTTACGTTCGAAGGTTCTAAATGTTAGGGTGAACGAGACTCCATTTCTGAGATCTATACCAACCCGAGCAGCTTATCACGCTGGACAGACAGCCGGCTTTGCCTGAGGAATCAGGTTGCTAGAGTCCAGATCTTGCGCTCTGGAGTCATTCAGAGGCCGCGGTCAGGGGGCCGGTGGACTCTGGTTACTAGGAGCGGGGAAAATCCTTGAACATCTGGGCGTCCTCAGAAGGAAGTGGCGTAGGTGGTGGAGAAAGCGGACTAAAGAAGAGTAGGGAAAAGCAGACAGTGAAGAGTGAGGGCTTCTTGAGGCTACAGGTTCCTGAACGAGGCTACTTCAGAAAGAGCATGGGTTTCCCAAGCCAAGCCACTCCCAGCATGCCTGCAGACCAAATGCAAACTCAGCCCTTCTTGCGGTGCATGCCTTCGCGGGAGCATTTTATCATGGCAGCAGTAGATCTGTCATTCCGGGCACGGACTCTATGACAAAGAAAGGAGGGTGCGGACAGTCACACAACCGTTGCCCACTGCTCAGCACTTTCTGTAATTCTCACTACAGCTCTTCAAGGTCAACACTGGCGTCTTCAACAAGGTCCAGACAGGGAAACAGCTCAGCGAGGGAGGGAAGTGGTCTTAATGAGCCTGGAACTTCTGGCTCCCTGCCTTCAGAGATGCATTCTTCTGGCAGTTTCCAGTAGACCAGGGGCATGTCTGCTCCGGTAGGAGAGGAGCAGGGAGAAGCCGCTGTAAGGGTGTGGGCATTGGTGGTAATTGGTTGGGTCATCTCTTGGGCTACATTGAAGTTTAAGCGTGAGTGTTATGTGCGTTGAAATATGTATGACTTGGGGGGGGGGCTAGAATTTGGTTCTTGAGCCATGTGAATATGCGGGTTGAAGCTCTTATGATGGCAAAGGACGAGAGGGCTTGGATTTTATGCACGTTGTGTGTGTGTGTGTGTGTGTGTGTGTGTGTGTGTGTGTGTGTGTGAGCTTTGGGGTGTGTTGGGTGCTGGGTGGGGAGACGTCAACGCCTGGGTCATGTATTCAGGCTGCGGTTTGCTGGACCTTGTGTTCTCCTGTGCACATGGGAGGGGGTGTCAGGCCTGGGAGGCCCGCCCCGCCCTCCGCTGCAGGTGGGCCGGGTCGGCCGCGGGGCCCCGCAGCGCTCGCAGCTCTTGGCTGGCGGCCGCGCCGGGCTAGCAGGGCTGGGCTGGGGCTGCGGGGCGGCGCCGGGACAGGAAGCGGAAAGCAGCAGAGAGCGGCGGCCGCGGCGGGGCTGTGCCTCCACTGCAGCCCAGCGCAGGCCGCGGAGCCGGGGCGCTGCAGCCGAGAGCGCGGGCGTGGAGCGCGGCGGGCCGGCGCCGGGGTGAGTCCCGGGAGTGGCTGGAGCGGCGCGACGGCCGGGGACTGAGCTGGGCGGGAGGTCAGGCCCAACCGCGCGCGTCCCTGAGCCGCAGCACCCCGACTGGGGTCCGGGGCCTCGGGCCGGGAGCCCCCTCGGCCCCTCTGGGGTCTTGCTTCCCGGAACCCGGATCCTTCCATCCCTGCCCCGGGCTCTTCCGCCGCATCCCACTGCCCCGAGTCCTGGGGCTGCCTGCGCTACCTCGGACGCCCCTTTGCCCAGGCTGGCCTTTGGAGTGCGCCCCTGGTTGCGCGTGCCGAGGCGGAGGCCGGGGAATGACGGCGTGTCGGAGGGAGCGGGTGGCTGGACGCGCCGTGCAGGGCAGGACGCGATCGGGGTCCCCGCCAGTGCTCGGGGTCACCTGGCCGGGCTTCGGGCACCCGGACGGAGCTGGCTTGTGTTTCTCCCTTCGCTTATAAAACCGCAGCCCCGGAGGCCTGGGGGGGCGCGGCCCGCTGCGCATCGCGGAGCGCAACAGGCAGGTAGGAGTTTACTTTCAAAAGCGCCGGGGCGGAGCGGAGAGGCGTGCAGCCAGTCCCAGCCGGAGGAGGAGTCCCTGTCCCGGGCAACCTCGCCGCGCCCGCCGGGGCAGCGTTTGCCACCGGTAGGGACTTAGTTCATCCCGCAGCCATTGAACTGGCCCCCTCGCAACGCGCCCAGGGGAGTGCGAAGCTTTATAAAAATTTAAAAGCGTCTTGGTGGTAGCAGCAGGAGAGGGGCGGAGCCGCAGCCTGGCGGCTCCGTGATGAGCAAGGGGAAACTCGGAGCAGGACGATCTCCGTGTTCACGTCTCCGAACCGGGTGTGATGCCGAGACCGCGAAGGTGAGCTCCTCCTGGAGAGATGTCAGGGCTCTTCATCGTGACGGTTGTGTGGCTGGCGCGTGCGTTTTGATAAAACCCACTTGAGAGGTCTGTGGTCAAGATGCGTGGGTTCCAACAGGCTAATTCTAAAAGCTAGCAAGCTGTGAAGGCCGGTGTCTTCGCTGACATGTTTATGTTTTACAGGGTTTGCTGAAAATACTGTAAGTTGTCTCACCAATCCACGATGCTAATTAGCCTTCTCCTTCCAGTGGGTGTGTTGACTATCCAACTCTTAGGCTCTGGGCGTGAGACAGCAGAAACGGTCTGCACCGAGGAAGGCGTAATTAGCCATTTTATGTAACCACTAATTAGAGTTTTTAGAATTGAATTAAATCAGTGTGATAGAGATGGGACTTTGATGTGTGGGAGGAAACTGTTTTATTCTACATTTCAAAGACGTATCCAGGAGCATTTAGCATTTCCGAAGGTTGGTGGCTCCCAGGACGATTAGCCAAAACACCCAGTGTGACGTTTTAGGGTTGGCCCTGCTGACAGTGTGTCTTGGTGGCAACTTAATTTGTAAGTAAAATGAGAGGGTTGTGAGAGTGTCTTTTTTTTTTGAGACTGCCTGCCAAGTCTCTTTTTTGTTTGTTTGTTTGTTTGGTTTTTTTTTTGTCTTATTTATTGAGCAACAGGACCAAACCATACAGGAAACTAAAAAAGTTTTCTTACCAGGCAACAATTTTGTGACATCGTCTGTGGAAGAATTAATGTGTCAAGTGTGGCAAGTCTGCTTTAGTTTATCCCCCTCATGTACACCTAAAGCCGCACCTTCCTCTGTGGCTGCTATAATTTGGGTTGAACAGGCGCTCACCATGCTGATGAAGAGTCAGAGGTCTCATTTGGACTGGAGGCTGCTCCAGATTAATTTCCTTTCTCCTTAAAGGTCCCCCCAACCCCCTCGAGTGAGCCTATGAGTAGGAGTTGAACTGCAGGATTCTTTGTAAGGTTATGTGTGGTTTGGAACAATTCACTATTGTTGCCTGCTGCCTCTCTAAGTAAACAAACAATTCTGGTAATTGCTACATAGCTTTCAACTTTCCGTGGCTCCCTGAAATCTCCTAAAAGTCAAACCCTTACTGGGGCACTTGCTTGTGTGTGTGTTAGTTTGTGTGTGTGTGACCTTGTTTCCTTAACTGTGCCCTAGCATTCTACTTTGTCTCCCTTAAAGACTTGTTCCAGAGACTGAGATATTTCAGGTAAGTGATGTCAGGCTTAACGCACAGTAAGCACTTGATGGTAGACTGTAACTGCCATTATTTCAGGGGCGTGAACTAACTGTGGCCAGCCCCTCTCCTGCAGGGATGTGATTGCTCTGCCACTTTCCATAAGGAGGACAAGATTCTGTGGCTGTGGCTGGACTCTGTTTTTTGCTAATCTAGGTCCTCCTGGAGACAGAAGAAGAGCTGCCCTTATCCTCTGCCACTGTGTCTCCACTCCTGCCCCTCCAAATGCCAGTTAGAGCACCAGACCTGGCACCATGGGATATGTGCTGTGCATGTTTCTGAAACTTCAAAACCTACTAGGGGACAAGGGTTTGCTTGAAAAGAAATATCCATCATAGATACAGTAACCAATCCGTATCCGACTGCCAGGGATGTTCCAGAGGTAACTAATGACTCAAGCAGGTGGCAGTTAGTCCGGGAATGTGAGATGAACTAGTTGGTAAGCCAGGTAAAATGAGGCTGACATTTTCTTTCCTGATGAATGAACAGTGGTCCATAGTCATACATTTTGAAGAACTCTGTCACTGGAAGAGGATCATTGGTTTGTCACAGGTGCCTGAGGTCTGCAGAGCCTCATGTCACAGATTTGGATAATGTTTTATGATTTACAGGTGTGAGCTCAGCAAAGTGTCTTACACACTTTGTCATACTCTCTGCACCATTCTTCCTAACCGGAGACCCTCCAAATAAAGCCACATCTGCTCTTCTCTGGACCCCTTGTACAGAAGCGTTCTACTTTCCCAGGCAGAGCCCCTTTAATTAATAGCTCTGGGGAGAGCTATTGATGTTCTTATAACTTCTTTTTCATAAAGGTTAGCTTATATTACCAGGTCATTATCATAACCTGTTATTTCCCATATATATATATATTATATTATATATATAATATATATATTACATATATTATATATATATTTTTTCTGAACACTGTTTTTCTCTCAAGTAGTAGTCATATATTTTATTGGAGTAAATGTGAGTTTAGGGGAAGATTCTGCTTAGGGTCACTGTCTTTCACCTTGTTTTAGTACAGGGTGAAGGGGGAGATTCATTGCATGCTGTAAGATGCTATCTTGTTCCCCAGGCTCTGTGGTTTGCTGTACTCCGGTCCAGACTGGAGCAGGATGCTCCGGGCACGCCCTGAAACAATGATACTGGTCTTCCCTGAGCACAGCTGGGCTGTATGTTCTGTTGCTGAGTAAGCTACCCTGTGAACCAGCGGTACAGCTTTGTTCTGGATAGTTCTGAAGTTGTTGGGTTTTGGATTTTGTTTTGTTTTTTTCTACCCTGTGTAAGCTTTCTTCTGCGGTGAAGGCTTGCCTCTGTGTCCTGAGATTGGCACACATTTCGTTCATCCATTCAGCAAAGGTTTATTAGGTGCCTCTTGTTTGCCAGCTGCCAGGGAGACAGTAAGGAACATGGTCCCTGCACCCCAGGAGCCTCTTCAGGAGCCTGATGGTCACTGCTCACAGAAGTGAATGTGTGGCCTGGACGAGCTCTCAGGAGAGTGCAGGTGGTAGGTCGTCTAGATGTGGATTGAAGAGTCAGCAAGGTCTCTCCAAAGAAGTATGTTTAAACTGAGAGGGATTAGCCAAAATGGTGTGCGTGGAAAGAATGAGTCCCAGCAGATACACTAGGCTCAGGTCAGGTCCCGAGGGTGGAAAGAACCAGGGCCCAGAGGAGTTGGACTGACCAGACTGTTGATCAAATGAAAGAGTCTGTTTTAAAGTTCAGGGGATGCCATGAAAGGATTTGGAGAAGGAGATTAGATTAGCCTGGCTGCTGCCCAGCCTGGACCAAACACAGTACAGGTCCTGTCAGGGGCCAGTATGATAGACAGCTGCAGGTTCTAGGATTTCCTGTATTCACTTCTGCTGTATTTCATCCTGGCCACAGCAGCAGTTCATGAGCTCGCTACCCAGGGAAACTGATTTCTTTTCCTTACTTTATTGTCTTTGCTGATAAAGGTGTCCCTCCTGGCCCTGTCCTGAGTGTTGTTAATTCCTCTGTGTGTACATCCTTACAGAGATAAGCACTGGGATTTGTGTCTTTGTGAACTCATGGTAGCCCTTACCTGAGGCCAAGCCCTTTCTGGACGGAGTTCACTCTGCCTTTTACTGGTTTACTTCCTGACTCCTCACTTAGATCTGAGGTGAGGCAAGAGTTGGTAACCATGGTGAAAGCAGAGCAACCTAGGAGGACCAGGCTCTGTGTGAGCCAGGGCAGGTGAGGAAACCTGGAGCTGTTTTCTAGGTTGGCTCTCTATCACTGTGAGCTGGGAGAGGATGGGGGAGGACCTGAGGACATGGTGGTGGGATGTGTGGATGAGCGGGAAAGAGCACATCACAGAGTGGTTCCATCCACCGGACAGGAGGACAGCATCACTGCCAGAGGGAAGACTAAGCCAGGACCTACAAGAGAGGCTGTGGCTAAGAGCTGAATGAGTGGGAAAGGAGCATTTGGCTGGACTTTTCAGGAAGTGTTTGGTTCCCGTTGTGTTCATAATACTTGGGGGAGGGGCTTATTGCTCCTCATGCTAAGGGGTTTATCCCCAGAGATGGAGAAGAATAAGGGAGGATGTGCCCTGAGCATTATGAGATAACTTGACAGGGGGATGGGTGAAGGAGCGTCAGAGTGCCATCAAGCTAGAAGCTGGATACTGGCAAAGCTTGACTAGGGCAGATGGAGTGCCCCGTTGATGCCGTCTTCCTAGCATTGCTGAGCAGGGTTTAGTGGCTACTCATTAAATATGGAGGTAAATCAATTCAGTAAGAAGGGCCTGGGAAGAAAAGGGTAAGGATGTGATGTCAAGGATTTGAGTCAAGGCAACGGAGGGAGAAGAATGGAGGATTTGGTGGCAGCAAAGAGGGAGGGAGGGATTGCAAACATAGCTTTCCCCCTTTGGTGAGTATAGGCTGGAACTGTGGGATAGAACCTGGGCAAAGGTAGTTGATAGAGTTAGGAAAAGGCTTTTGGGAGGGCTGTTGGGAGCTGTGATTTCCATTGAGGGACATGCCTGGAGTTGCCTTAATGGATGCTACACATTTTGATGGGGACAAAGAATGATGACCTTCAGCCAAAGCAGAAGGAAATGAAATTGGGTCATACTGGAGGTTTTACCTCAGAAGACTTTTTAAATCCTCACAATAACCTTGGGAAGGGAATATTAACGGTGACCATTTTTCTGTGGGACAGAGCAGAAGTGCCTGCCCTGAGGTAAAACCTATAGGAAGTACAGAAACAGACTCAGGGGTGGTATGCTGGGTTGAGGCTACCTTTCTCTAAGATACTCCTCAATAAAAATTGGTGAGAAGTCAAAAATTAGAGAAGAATGGGGAGCCAGCTTTCTGCTAGAAGGCAGAAACAAGCGTAAGGATGAGAGGAGTTAATTATGAATCTAGAGAAGAATGCTCAGTTTTCTGAAGAAGGTGCCAAGGCTTGGAATCGGCAGGTCAACACAGAGTCGGGCTAGGGGCTATCAGGAAAGAAGATTGTCTCAGGCTAGGCTCCACGTCCTGGCTGTACCTCCTATAGCTGGTTGTCTGGCAGCCAGAAGGCCAGTGAGAAATGAGTCCAGCCCAGAGCAGAAAGGAAGGGGGACTCTAACACTGCTGAAAGTTCGCTGAATGGCTGGTGAAAAGCCTGGGACACAGGAGAAGGAGAAAAGGCTGGACCTGCTTAATCCAGGGGCTGAGCTGATGTTTTGAGAGATGCCTGTTTGGTTTCATGTTTAGTCTTTACAATCACTCCCTTCCTCTCAAACAGGCTGCTTGACTTTCTTTTTTTTTTAATTTATTTTTCAATTATATATTATTTTACACCCCAATCATAGCCCCCTCCTCTACTCCCGGTCTGAACCACCCACTCTTATTTTTACCCAGTGCATCTGGTGCCCGTGCTGCGTGCTGGCACCACCGTCGGCTCATACAGGCATCAAAGTGCTCCTGGTGCTCACGTGTTATAGATGGGGCTTCAAAGAGATTGCATCGTTTGACTGAGGTCCCACAGCTACGAAGCGAGTCAAGTCTGTGTGCGTGTATAGCTTCATCCTGGGAAATGGTGGCTGAGCACACTGAGACTCAGGAAGGCAAGGAAGGGGCTGATCACAGCTGGCTGAGCTTCCTAGGTTTTGGTTCTTGATGGCAGACGGCTGTTAAGTAATAACGTGATATGGAACAAGAGGACCAAGTGTCGGAAGAGACTGCTACAAGTGGCATAAAAATGGGAAAGTAGCCACAGGCAGGGCCAGAGAAAGCAGTTCGCTCTGTCATTGCTCTGTGTACGACCCTAGCTCTCCTGAGCAGCCTCTCCTGGCTGCATACAAACATGGTTGTGAAGTGGATGAATCAGTGCAGTGAGCAGGGCTTGGGGAAGGAGTGCAAGGCTCTGGCCTTTGGATTTAAGGCCATAAGTATCATTTCTTACAAATATGTGCTAGTTAGGGGGTTGGCTAAACTCTAAGATAAACTCTAAGATAAATTCCTAGTGAAATCATGAGCTGAGACATCTAGGACAGAGCAGGTTCTCTGTGGAAACGACCTTCTCCTCCACCTGGGAAGTGACAGATACCACGTCTACGCTGTAACTGTGTGCAGATGAGACTTCCGGGCCCACTTGGTGTTCCCAGTTTGAAATTTCTCCCCATGTAGCTGTTGCTGAGGTCTGGGAGCCTGAACCTCCTCCCACTTCAGGCAGGAGTATGGCCTTTGTTTTCCTTCACACTTACCTCACTGTCTCTGTTTGTAGTCTTAGCCTCCAGGACAACTGCAGGGTGGGGGGGAACCGTGTTGGGCCCTAGATCAGCCTTGGGAGAGGGGTGCAGGAAGAGGCAGAACTTAGGTCCGACTTTCTCGGGGTGAAGGCTGAGCAAGCGGAGGCTCAGGAATGTACTTGGGAGTGTTTCTAATTTGTTTTTATTGCAGAGCAGTTTTTGAGGGAAGTGGGAAAGGACCTGGGACCTTGTAACTCATAAATCACCTTTGCTGATGTCCTAGCACAGCCCCTTCCATACGTGATTGTACATCATTGTAACGGTTATATGGATTTGCTTGCTGGCTACCTGCAATCTCGTATCCTGCTTGTTAATATCTCAGTTCTTTATAGTTGTCATTTTATACAGAGATGTGGTCTTTTCTTTGACTGACCGAATCATATTTTGCTCCAGCTATTCCTTGGCTTGGGGAGGTATTTACATTGCCTCTAGCTTTTTATTTTCCTAGGCAGCAAGGCAATAGTGGTGGTTGTTGATTTTTAATTATCTAAGATAAATTTCTAGGAGTTTGGGTTCTCAAAGAAACTAAGGAAAAAAACTTTAATTGACTTTTGGAAATGATGGCCAAATTGCTGAATAAGTGATTTCCCTGAGAGTTGTTTTTATAACTGACAGTTGCAGGTGGGGTAGACATTTGTCTGGGCGTCGGTGTGAGAGGCAGTTAGTTTTACAGCCAAAGCCATGAAGGTGCCCAGGTCTCTCTCAAACTTTCTTCCTGCTGTTGTGATGTGGGGTCCAGCTTGCTGGACACCCCGCTTGCCTTTCAGATACCAGAAAAGCCTGTTCCTGGATGACTGGTGCATTTGGAGGTTCAGGTTTTATGTTGACCACAAATTCCGTAACAGGGACCCCAGAGGAAAGTTGGCTGTTCTCGGTCTTTGATTGACTCTGAGGATTGATCTCTCCTTTTTCTCCCCTTTCCAGAGTCCTGTTGAAGAGCAGCGTCTCTGTGTCCCACGAGGCTTTCCGAGCTAGTAGGTGAGACTGCGCGGGAGAACAGTGCCTGCTCCTTCGTCAGAGGAAGCTCGCCATTGCTATGGATACCGAATCCACATATTCTGGATATTCCTACTACTCAAGCCATTCAAAAAAATCTCACAGGCAAGGGTACGTACATGACCCACCAGTCCACCCTTGTAAGTGGGAATGCCTGTAGGTCGGTAGGGCTTCCTGTTAAGAGAACCAGTTCTTCAGCGGCCAGCCTGAAGGCTCAGGATGCTGAGGGTTCGATCTGCTGGTGCGTGAGAAGCCAAGCTGTAAGGCGGTTGGCATGCTCGGGGGAGTCACTACACTGCCAATTTACATTTTATAGCTGTCATTAGAGTTGATGGCCTTAATTTCTCACGATTGGTTTTAAATTAAAGTTTCCCGGGCAGTGGAAATGCTTCTCATTTCTAAGTACTTCTTATGGATGTCAGTTCTCTCAGAGCTTTACCAGTTCTGTAAGTGAAAGTTAAAAAGCCAATGTTAATTTGTTGCTTCACCCAAAGATGCTGACTCACAGGCATCTTCCCCAAGAGCATCTCAAACATAAATGCGCACGCGTGCACGCACACAGGTGTGACTGGCCTGGCATCTGATCTCTCTTTGACTAGTCTTCAAAGTGAGAAAGCCCTCTGTGGGCTCTGAAAACAATGTCCTGAGTCTTGGGGCCAAATTCTCCTTCCTCTGCTGAATGAAGACGCCTGCATTGCTACTCAGAGCATCACGTGCATTCTGACCTGCAGAATGGTTGCCGAGTGGGGGAGTGTGTGTGCATGTGTGTGTGTGTGTGTGTGTGTACATGGATGAATGGATGAGCAAACAGGTTAGTGACGAAACGGTCGTCCGTGCTATGCAGGGTAAGAATGCAACTGTGAGATGTGTCTTGTAGAGCCTGTGAAGGCTGAATGAAATGTGCATGGAAAATGATTAACTCAGCCCACGGTAGGTGGTCCCTCTCCCTCGCTAATAGCTGTGTCACTGCTATTTATGGCCTTGCTATTTCAGCACCTTTGTTTGAAGGTGACAATTGATCCCAGCTCAGCCTCCCAACTGTGGCCACAGCTGTGTGCTGTGTGGAAATGGTGACTGTCCCCGTGTTTGCTCTTCCCAATGAGCAGATCACCATAATCTGTGCCCAGAATAAGATGTACGTTCCATGGATCCAGTGTGAACGGCCACACCTGGAAAGCAGCCTGCAAGTGTTTTCCAAGATGCCATGTGTGACATCTTCAGAGAAGGGGCTCTTGGCAGTGGTGACTTAGGGATGGGGAATTAGCCACTTAAACTGTTTCTCTCTACTAATTAGCATCTTGTAGTTTTTTAAAAAGTGAATGGAAGCCACATAAAGGGGCAGAGGCCTTTAGTCCTAGCACTTAGTGGGCAGAGGCAAGCAGATATTTGTGAGTTGGAGGCAAGCCTGGTGTGCATAGCAGGTAGAAAGTTCCAGGCCAGGCAGATAGGGCTACACAGTGAGATTCTGTCTTAAAAGAGATGATAATAATAAAGTGAACGGAATAAAAATATAAAGCTTTTCAAAGATAATGCTCATGAGGCTCCATTATGTTAAGGGAATGGACCTCTGGGCATTTTTTGTTTGTTTGTTTTTTCTTTTGCTTTATTTTCTAAACATTTCTGCATTGTTTGTGTGCTGTGCTAGAGCCCAGCTTGCCTTTCCAGTGGGGACCCAAGACACTTGGTTTGGGTGCTTCGAGGGCAGGGAAGGAGAAGGCCTCTAGTGACACTACAGCCCAGATCCGGAGAAAGCCCTGTTTTAAAAAATAATCACAGATTTTTGATCAGTGGACAAACTTAACAGATTTATTATAAAACACTAGAAACAGCTGTTCCCAAATACCTGCTTTTGGGACCTAACTGGAAAAAGCAGCTGGCCTACAGAGTGTCACAGACTTCCTCTTCCATACAGTATGAATGGGAATTTGGGGTTCCTTTGGGGGTTGGGGGGTGAGTAGGAGAGGGTGGCTTTAGAATGGAGCCAGCCTTGGTTTCTTTTGTCTGCAAGCCCACCAAGACTTGCACACTTCAAGGCCCATTGCTGCTTGCTGCTGCTCCCTAGGCCTCCTGGGGACCCAGAAATGGATTCTCTAGTGCTGTTATGGGAACTGTAAGAGACTATAACTTTCAATTAAAATGACATGCAGAACGCTTAGTTCTTTTCTTGATCCCTTGTGGAAAGTACTTGGCAAATGTAAGTTGGAGCTGAGGCTTTTAATCAATTGATCAAGGAACGCTGCAGAGCGCCTACTGGGAGGAGGGCTGTCTGGCACTCCAGCTGGCTCCCAGTTGATCAGGGACTATTGTTGAGTGCCCATTCCAAGTGAGTGAGTGAGGGGTTTGAGCTTAGGGCTGAGTAAGTGCGTTTAGTGGCTCTATGAAGCCCTCTCCCCTACTGTTGCATTGAATTGTCTGAGGGAGGACCACAGAGGTCATAAGGAACTATGGAGCAATGGTTGTAATCCACTCACAGTGGAATGCTCAGCCAAGGCAAGGACAGTGTCCAGCAGCAAAGGAGCCCTCCACAGTCATGGGAGCCAGCTGCCTCGGGCATTTCTTGTCCCAGGAGTGCCCCGTGACAGCCTTCTCTGCTTGATGATTTGTGGGGAGTTTAAATGGAGGAGTAGGAAAAGAAAGGGACCTGGTCTTTTGGTAATTTTAGTGCAGCTCCAACTCAGAAAGGAATAATGAAGTGCCTGATGACACTGATTGTCTTGGAGGATTGGCTACTGTCCAAGCCGTTTTCAGACAAAGCGGTCACTAATGCCTGTGGTCTCCAGAGAAAGTCCAGTTTGCTCTGTTGAGAGAGTGTATAGACTGCAGCCAACCTCATCTAGCCTTTTGGTTTCCCATGTCAACAGCCACTGAAAGCATTAAGCGCCATTTGGGGAGTACCTGCAAGGTCCCGTATGGCCAGCTTCTCCCATGCTCACAACAGTCCCGGAATAGTGGAAGTTGAGAACTCTGCTTCATAGGTGGTGGAACTGAGGCACAGAGAGGAACGTGCTTACCAGACATTGCCAGGCCAGTAGAATCCCTCGTCAAGTTTCAGGCTTGTTGGTTCTTCGGAAGGAACGGGCACCTTTAAAGGAAAATGTGACTAATACGCTCTAAAATGAATTGTTCTAAAGGGCCTCCCTGGCAGTGGAGGATTCCAGAGACCCAGAGCCTGTTCGTTCCACGCCCAGCAGGCCCAGCAGTCCATAGGCAGTAGACAGGTCGTGAGTGGGTGGGGGTAGAGGAGGGAAGGGAGGAGTAACCGGTGGGATGGCTTTCCCCATTTAGAAACAGACAAGCAACAGAACAGGAGGAAATAGCCTTCCCAGGAAATGCTGACTGTAAGTAGGGACAGTGTGGGAATCTCAGGCTTTCTGGCTGGAGTGTGTGTGTGTGTGTGTGTGTGTGTGTGTGTGTGTGTGTATGCGTGTATGCGTGTATGCGCCCGCGAGCGTGCGGCTGGGGAGGGGGGTTTACAGCAGCTCCCCAGGGCTCGGCCAGAGAATTGTCTAAACGATGATGCATTTACCTGGGCACATGGTTGCCTCTTGCGTGCTGCCACTTGCTCTCTCCACCCTCTCACTAATGTGTGCATGCGGACACACTTATCTTTGCACAGACAGGCTTATCTTTATTCCTCTGGACCCAGGAAGCAGGAAGACAGATTCAGAGATAAAGACAGAGATTCCTGTGGTCGATGAAGCCGCCCAGAAAGGGCCCTCAGGTGATCCTTACGACTTGGGCAGTTAAATCTTGAGTATCCCGATGTTCCATGTATTGGTTTATTAACTGTTTACTCTCCCCGGAGTCTTACTTCTACACTCCTAGACACATCTTCATCGTTGGGGAACCCTCTCCTAGGATAATGGGCAGCGACAGATAGAGGCCCCTTAAACTTAGCCATCCCTGGCTAGCCTCAAATCCTGTATGTCAGCCAGGGACACAGGTATGTGCCATTAGGTCTGGTCTATGTGGTGTCAGGGATTGAACCCGACCAAGCCTCAGTAATGCTGGGCAAACACTGGGCTGACTGAGCTGCGTCTCCACTCCCCTGTTCCTGCCTCTCCAGCTTCAGGGATGAGTGTTTAGGTACGTTCCGCAGTGAAATGGCCTCTTGGAGGTTTGCAATTCTGCAAACTAGAAAGCACTGCATGGATGATGAACAGTGTTTTTCTTGGACATCACTGTTAAGTCCTGGCTCGGCTTGGAGACCTGCCCAGAGCAGTAACTAACAGCAGTGATTTCTGTAACTGCCATGCGCTGTGTCTCACTCCCTTCTATGGTGAGGCAGTTCCAAGGAGCAGCTCACTTGGCACCGTGCTGGTGGAGCCTCACTGGGTACCTCGCTGGGTAGGCCTCAGTCAGGACTGCGTGCTGCTCTTCATCTATGCAATACTCAGAATAAAAGGTGGATTTTCGTTTATGCGGGTACGTCTGTGTGAGTGTCTTCAGGTGCCTGTGGAACCCAGGAGCTGGAGTTACAGGTGTCTGCCAGCCTCTGGATGTGGGTGCTGGGAACAGAACTCAGATCCTCTGAGAGAGCAGTCAGTGCTCTTAACTGCCAAGCCATCTCTCCAGCCCCACTATTTTAATAAAGACTGTGTGTTATGGTGCTACACAGCTGAACACTCACAATTTTGATCCCCTGCCACTCACAAGGCTTCGTACACAGACTCAGACTTCTAAGTAGGAATTCCCACAGCCTCCCCAGAAACAAGGGGTGGGCGAGTCTTCAGGAATGGTTCTTGGGGTCACCTGCATCCTGATGGCCTGGTGTGCTGGTGAGAAAGTGTAGATTCCTGTTGTCTCCCTTCCAGACAAATTCCCCCGAGGGCAGGACCACCCACTCTCTGCACTCCTGGTGGTTTGTCTGCACAAGGGGTCTGAGACATGAGAATACTGGTGGCAGCTGCAAAGATGAAATGTTCTTTGGGCTCCTCGATAAAACGTTCTTACCCTGGTTTTACCTTGTGTGTTATCCAGGGAGTCCTGAGACGAAGCTGCTTAGAGGCTCTCATCTCAGTGCTTTTGCATCCTTTCAGAATCCAGCTGGGTGGTCCAGGGGTCTCAGACCTGGTTGGTTTCCACCTGCTTTCCGCCTGGTGATGTTCAGGAATCAGAAACTGGCGCGAATCGAAAAGGATTTGGTTTCAGTGGTCTTCGCTGTCACAGGATTTGACCTGTGGGATTTTTCAGTAGAGAGCCAGGTTAGATAAGCATGTGACTAGCAAGAGAGTGGCAAATGGAATAACAGGAGGGGGGAGTGGAAAAGGGCAGGATCATTCCCCCCGGGGCCATCCAGCTGGCTGCAGGTGGGTCCCGCTGGATTAGCAGTTCTGGATTTAGCCTAAAATTCACTCTGAAGCTTGACCAAGCTGGGAGCAGGAATCTCCCACTGTTTACCATTGCACACAGAGAATGCATTTTGGGGTGCTGGTTAGACAGCCCCGAGCACAGAAGCAAGACTGTCCACAGTCACAGCTGGCGGTGACTTCCAATATCAGCTTCAAAGGCCCATTTCCTAACCCCAGCAGTGTGACTGTCTAGCCGTGTAAAGAGCGGGGCTAGGAATAGTTTACTTTATAAAATATCCCAATTTTAGATATTAGAAAGAGGAAAGGGACCAGTGTAGGAGGGGGAAATATGGAAAAAGGGGGAAAGATGATCAAAGTATGTTATCTTCGTGTATGAAAAGTGTTATAGTAAAATCTTATTGTTTCATGTTATTCTGTATGCTATTTAAAAAAAAAAAAAAACTAATTGCTCCTCATAGTGGCTTTGAATAGAAATGGTGGCAACAGATTTGGCTCCAGTTCCCATTCTTCTCCTTACCACAACTTTTGGAAGGCACTTAAACACTCTGGCCTCAGTGTTCTCATCTGTGAGCTAGGGCAGTAATACAGGCTTAAGTCATTTGTTAGAACTGAGTGGCACTAGCATAGTCAAGCACCTAGCCAAGTGCTGTGTGAAGGAGACAGGGGAGGGGAAATCGGCATCATTCTCTGATTATTTGACTATCTGCCTGGTTGCCTGGCTCAAACTACGCACAGCTAGCCATAACACATCTATTTCTAGTTAGTCGGCGAAGAATGGAGCTATTGTCACTGGAAACCCTTTGTTTCTTGAAGGAATGAACCACTTGCTTATCCAAGGGAGGGATACCCAGGATGGGAGGAGTATTGCAGTAGCTCTGCCAAGTGGTCATTTTGTTTTAGGAGTTTTTGTTGTTGTGTGTTTGCTAAGTAGCAGGCTAGTAGGAGATAGATCTGAAGTGGGGAAGAGGGTTTGGTGGTGTGTTCATGGCTCTTTTCTGTCATGTGGCATCATCATGGCCCCATTTCATTTCCCACATAGGGAAAACTGAGGTCAAGTAACGTGTGCAAAGTCACACATCTAATATTCGGATGGAGAACTGACTGGCTCTACATACAAAATGGGAAACCTTGGGCAAGAACACAGGTGGCTATGGGAAAGACGGATGTCAAGTCGCTTGTGGCACAGGAGGCCAAGGAAACACAGGGACTTTGATGCCACTTTACTGCTGATTGACCAGCTTGTGACCTCTAGGGCTTTGCCACTGTGGCTGATTCCTTTTGTAGTTTTAAGACTCAACAGCAGGGTGTCCTCCCTCTGTCTCTGGAAGACCACCCACAAAGTTCCTGTGGCGTGAAAGCCTGCTTTTTCTTAGGCAGCCTGAAGACGCACACCCCTGGCTCATTTGTTTCACCTTTGTTTTTGTGGGTATTTTTGAGCTCAGCCAAAACCTACAGGAATGACTTGTCCTGTTCAATTTGTAAGAATGAAAAGTCAATGATCCTCTGTCCTGTTTTAGGATTTCCTTTCTTTTCTTTTTATCCCAAAGTGTAGGTGGCATCATGTCCCAAATTTTTTTTTTCTCTTTTTCTTTTCTTTTTTGCCAGATCAAAGTTTGGGTATGATGCTGTGTTCTTCCAGTAAAAGACGTTCCTAAGTAGTTTAGGCAAATGATAACCAAATCAACGGAGTAGTAATTATTACAATGAAATGTGCCCCCATCCAGGGTCCTTCTAAAATTAGCCTCTGATAAAATTTGATCACTGTTGATGGAGGAATGGCAGGCTTTGTTTCTGGTGTTGAACTGGCAGAAAGACAACACTAAATAACGAGTTCAAGGTAGCCTTTCCTTGCAGGTTGTGGAGATGGATGGGTATCAGTGCCCTGTATAGGGTAGGGTCAGGTATAAGCCTAGAACTTTCCTCAACTCAAAATAAATTTTTTTTTTTTTTTTTTTTTTTTTTTTTTTTTGTGAGGCTAGAGAATAATTAACCTGACGTAACTCTGATATCTGATGATTGGATTATTTCTCCTCAGGGAAAGAACAAGAGAAAGACACAAATCACCACGGAATAAAGATGGCAGAGGGTCAGAAAAGTCCGTCACTATCCAGGCTCCCACTGGAGAGCCCCTGCTGGCAAATGACTCTGCCCGCACAGGCACTGAGGAAGTTCAGGTAAGGATCAAAGGCACCCCTGCAAGCCTGCTGCTACTCAGCCTGGCTCCTCTCGGCAAACGTTTTCCTAAGCCTTGTTGCAGTAAGTTCTCTTGGGTTTTTAACCTTTATTTTTCTAGCATTTTAATGAGTTTATCGACTTCTCTGGCTTGCCTGTTGGTCTAAGGACAGCGTGTCCTACCATTGAACGGCTGGTCCTTCTGAAGTCTGATTGGTCGGCCTCCTTTGAATGATGTTGGAAAGAAGCCAGCTTGGCTGATGACAGGTCAGAAGAAGGAAAAATTGCAATCCCTGGAGACTCATTCCAAAATGGAATAGGATGGCAGAGGGCAGGAACCTCCCTCTCAAAACAAACAAACAAACAAACAAACAAACAAACAAACAAACAAACAAA